TTAGGTAAACGCTTGCAAACATTTGACTGCAAAAGAGTTACCCTTAGTCGTGATTCAGCACGGGTTATAAAGTAACCCGGGGTCATGTAAGGAGCACTGTATTTTATCGCTTGGGCTGCATTGAAGGGTATTTATATCGTCTGTTCCACATCAGAGAAAAAACTTGGCGAATAAGTAATTACTAACCCACGATTTTAAAATATCTAACGTATTTTGATCTACACGCTGTCGTGCCAATGATATAAATAAGTATAGAAATATTGAAGCAGAGAAATAAAACTCGTATTCATCTGTACCAAGAAATCTCTTGTCTGTACTTACTGTTATCGTGAAACACTTCTTTAACCGTTTGTACTAGCGCAAGCGTCCGAGATAGAGACGAAGTACTTCGTAGCAGGCAGTTAGCGCTTGAAGGCGGTTTTTAACAACGAAAACTCAACTAAATATTGCACGGTAGATGTTGGGCTTTATGTATAGCAGTAAAATGGACATGGATAAAACATGACTGTTGTGCTCAGATAGAATAGCAACGCGCATAAAACCACGTAACTCTTGACGTAATCAGTCGCTCCTTAGGGCAGGGAATCACGCACAGAAATTACTAACAAGACAAGAACAATCTAGTGACGCGGAAATAAAAAAGTGTTGACAGATTCCGTTAAAAAGTTATCACTCCTCAAGCACGACTTTCCCCTATTCCCATTCTCGTTCCCAGGGACCGCGCTCCTTTTGGCCAGTAAAAAGAATCGCGACCTTTTCAGTATTATTATTATTATTATTATTATTATTATTATTATTATTATTATTATCATCATCATTATCATTATTATCATTATTATTAGAGAAATAATGCGAAAAAATATATCAAACATATAAAACAGTAAAAAGATTTCAAAAGCTAGATCCAAAGACCGTATTTAGCATTTTCCTAACTTCATTTCTAACTTCACGGTCAGCCTTGTTCCAGAGTCAACACCAACATAGGCGATGGACTTCTTTAGCGTATTGGTCAGAGTTTTTGCCTTAGAATGTAACTCGTATCACGTTTAACGAATAATTCATGAACAGGCCGAGGTGCAGCACCATAAAAACAGTTGTGGGCTAAAAACAATAACCGCTGACAATACGTATGCCTCAGAGGCAACCAGTTTACAGTGTTTAAAACTTCTTCTTTTGGTGCACACCAATCCAGGCGATAAATAATCTTTGTTGCTCTCGCACGAATCTGCTCAATATTGTCAAACACGGTCTTACTACATGATCCCCAAATGATGAGTAGGCCATAAGTCATAGATGGTAAAATGACTTTTAAAAGGACCGACCGTACTCAACCTCATAATTCAAATTATCATCTTTGCTGGTAACGCGTTAACGAGACATAATAAAATCGGGTAATTAAATTCATTTCTCTTGGAACCTTTTTTTCTTTTATACCAGTGTAGATATTTCTCGGCCATAATTCGAAAGATCTGCTTCTTTTTGTAAGCGTCACGTATTGTCATTCAAACTCCTTGACCCTCGTGCGAACAAGTGTGACAGGATCATACCGCCATACAGGACTCACTGTGCGATGCTGAAAGCTACCTAGCCTAATTTATTTGGCATAGTGGCACTCTTTCATCGTGCCTCTTGTTCGTTTTGATTGCGTATACAAGTCCCCAATACACGGCCGACCACAACGCTCGAACACCCGAGTGTGTTATTCAGGTTGTATAACGAGTTGCTGGTATGAATGCATAAATAAATGAGAAAAATTATTTGCCTTTGACGCCATTTATCTCACTAGTGCACATTGGCACAATACGTCCGCAGGGTGTACAAACACATGTTAGTTGTAACGAATACATGTTAGTTGAAAGCCTCTAGCCCGTAGAACCATGCGCTCTCCTTAAGCAAATGACCGCGATGAGAGTAGGCAGTTGTACAGATGCTAAAACCACCCAAACCATTTACTATGACGCTAAACCCGCTATTGTAGTACGGTAAAATGTGAGGAGTGGGTGGATGTTTCCAGATTGAGGTGCTATTAAGAGTTTGTGCGAATATAACTCTCGTCAACTACAAGTTATTTTCTTAAGGTACTAATGAAATAGTAATAATAAATCAGTAACAGCTTGAAGAGAAATGCTACCTGCTAACGTCAAGAGAAATCATTAAGGGAACTTGATTTTTGGGGGTCTTGAGATTAACACGATCAAGCGCACGTGTTCACTCACTTTCCTAAAGTAAGAGGGCGGATTTTATTGTGGTTCGCTGCATCTCCAACGGTTTCCGGTTTAAACTTGTTTACGTCATCATCATTAGTCCTTTTTCTTGGCGTCAGGAGATATTTTTTGATATAATATCATCTATAGAAATGCGGCGTTAAACTTCATGTGAGTTGTTTCACTAAAAGGAACCGGAGAAGCACGAAAGGTGAGTAAAGTCTTCCTTTTTACCAACTACTAGAATTTGCTGATGATAAAGCTTGGGAAAATCTAGATCTGACGTCTGGAAACCAAAAGTGAACAATTGCGTTGAACTGTGGACCAAGCACGATGCATATATTTTATACGTAGACATAACAAAAAACAGATTAACAAATCGGCATTAACTTCTTATGTGCTACTCTCTTTTTGATTCTTAACTTCGGTATGGAAATAGTTATGGACCAATAGAATTGTTTTAAACATTATTTGACCAGTTCTCACCGTGAAATAGAGCTAACTAGAGATATTGCTGACAAATTATACTTTCGGTCTTCTCGATAACTGCGCACAGTATTACTCAATTATTTATGATTTTGCAATTAATTAGGGCAAAGGTAAGGAATGTTGAAAATATATGACTCATGTAGTACGAAACTTCACGATCGACCTTAAGTCTTTCTGTCATATTCTGTGCGAGAATTCTACCTTGCAACATGTTCTACCTAAATGGGTTAAATGAAATAGTAAAACGAAACAAAAAAAATCGAAAAGGAAACTTGTAACACTAGACAGGAGAGAAAGAAAATATAGATTGTTTGATGTTTACATAGAACAAACATGTGACGCGTGATCGAATCACACTTCAGTGATTATTACACAAAGAGGGAATTGGACCATGGCGCCGGTGCCCTGCAAGTTTCAAAATCGATTCTTTTGTGTGTTATATATGATTAAACGCATTTCTTCCTTGCGGATTATTCTGCCGACACAGTGTTTTGTCGTTGCAGTATGGGAGCTGAGAATCGGTATAAAAGGAAATGGTGGTCTCCCGTAGAGCGTTCATTTCATCCTCCCCAGGGGATGCTAACGAGGCAAGACGAGGGAAGGGGGGTGGAACGAGGGTGAGGGTGTTAGGGGGGAGGTGGCCACAAAGAACATCTTCAGATCTTTCCCATTAATTTTGCTCACGGCCATAGCTCAGATGACAACGCTTTCCTTCCAAATTACCTTATTAGATGAAATTTTCGCGACCGGCATTTACTTCACGATTTTGAGGTAGGCATATTTCGCGACACTTAAATTCCGTGATTTTGCGAATATTTTGTATTTTGAATCACGTTAACTTCGCGTTTTTGAATAACACACAGTTTATTTCCTTGGTAATGTTACTTTAACATCTCCTTTAGTAAATCGACTTTCTCAAAGGTACAATATAAACGTCAAAATTTAACAAAAACGCAACGGCGGGACTATATGTCAACAGTAACGAAATTAACATGTCGCGAAAATTTCATGTAATAAGGTATTCCTTTCAATATCTTTTTATCAACCCCCAGAGTTCTCTTTTAGCAGCCAGTGTAGCGTCAAGGGGGGATGTGACGAGCTTGTCTGGCCTTTAATAGGCGGGTTTTCATATAGTGATCTACGAAGCGAGAAGAGTTATCGAACGAAGTTGATGAAAGCTTTGCAATATACGTGTCCGCCTGACTCGGTAATCTTGGAGCGCGGGCTCATCGGTGGCTTGCATTGCACTGGCTGTTGATGTTTTGAAACTTTTTAATGTAGATTAACTAGAACTATTCAAAATCATTTACTATCAAGTTACGTATTTGGCTCGCGTGACAGAATAAGAAACAATCCGGGTTGGTTCATGTCGCAGACGCTACCCCAAAACGTTAGTTAAGAACACTCTTTCCGCAGCTTTGAATAATGGCCTCTTGGATATTTGTCCAGTTCAAGAGTAAGGAGGATTTGATCAACATTTTTAAATCGCCTGAGAACTAATCTAGATAACAGAAAATTCAGTCCTCAACCGAACACGCCCCCCCGGCCTCACCCCTCCCCCACATCTGCCTGCTTCTCAANCCCCCCTCCCCCACATCTGCTTGCTTCTCAACTGGATGCCATAGGGTCATACCAATTGTTTTTTGTTATTGATCTTCTTTGGATATCCCGTGTTCTGGTGTGACGGAGTCTGCCTTTGTGATGCAAATGAAAAACAAACGCATTCTTCGCTCTGTGTACATTAATCGCTTAAATTGACTAATAACCTCTTAAGTGAGAACTTGTTTGAGAGTGGTTACCGTTCTGTTGACGTCTCGCGAACCTCCCAGGAGAATCCGGCTATCAGACGATGAAACACGGCCATGTGTTTTGACTTTGAAGCAAGCAAAACGGACTTCGACCACCTAAATTGTAAGAAAACCAGTGTTTTGAATGTTCTGATAAAAGTTTGTTGATTTTTCCTTCGCTCGGCTATCCCGGCTCGAGAGCGCAAACTTTAGCCTCTCTTTAGGTTAATAATCCGCCCGTAGGCATATCATGTTGTGTTAATAATTAACCGCAGCTATCTTCGATTACAACTAATACGGATTTCACATTGCTTGCATTTTCTTCACAGAAACTCAAGAAGGATCAATGTTAAACCTTCCTCGATACGAGGAAAACAAAAGCAGTTGTTTTCGTTCTCTCAAGTTTAACCCCTGAATGGAAATCGCTGGAAAATACATTGAAATGAATACTAGGAGTCCAAAATTGAACAGACATAAGGTAAGCTTGAAGTCTAGGGGAACAGAAGCAAAATACGTGTTAGATTGCTCTCACTGGTCTGTAGGAATGTCGACCTTTGACGGCATTGCACCGGTCATTGTAGACTGAAGTGAACCCAGACAGGACATAAATTGTTGATTACTACAGTGGCAAACGTACAGGGCAAAATTCTTGGTTTGATTTTGTAGCTTGAGGGGCACGGCGTTACGTCATCGGTCGACGATCATGGCGGAATTTTTAATAACCTGCCATGCTTTGTATGGGTGTTATACATGTACACCGATCAAATGTCCTCGACTTTATTTGATTTACAATCAAAACAAACTTTACAGTTAACTGTCTGGCGTGAGATTGTAATTTACTTTAGTTAATAACAAGAGATTCTATTATGAAAACGCGGAATTAAGGGGGCGAGTTAAACACAGACTGAGCAGTCAATTTAAGCCAATTTCTCGGTTTCTGCTACAACGCGTCCGATTTTATCAGTAAATCGATATCGACGGAACTCGAGTTTTTATCAGTTTTAAAATGGTAGCCTGCCAGTTTTGCATGTAAATACCTTCGGATATAGTTACAAGTTCACAACGCATAAACAGCAAAACAAATGGTTAACAGCCCTCAAGCTAAGAGCTAAGTACATATTTAAAACGCTCCGCTAATCTAGGTAAAAAGTTTCAGACCTGTAGTACTCAAAGCAAATTGAAGGTAACTATGCCATTGTTGTTGGTACGATATAAAAATTTATTTCACGTCATGTTCACTTCCATGAAGATATTGATGCCCTACAGCCACATGAGTGTCAAGTGAAGGTCGAGGCACTTCAGAAAGTAGAAACCACCGTAAACGTGCTCGAGTACTCGCTCCGCTACACATCATGAACACAATACAGCTTGTTTGGAATTGATTTCATAAATCTAAGCGATTGAATTGGTGTCTCGAAATAGTCATTGTCAGCTTTGTAAGGAATTTTTTCTTTGTCTTATAAATTGCTCTGGTAATAACTAAACCAATACCGAATTGTCTATGTGGTCACGCAATTTTCACGTGACACACTGATGTGTGTCTGTGGATGTCGGAAATGTGGTCGGTTTATTGTTGAGTCAGAAATGAATTTGTTTTGTTCAATTTCGGGTTCATCTAGCCGTCTTTATGTTCGGACGGACGTGATACTGTTATGCTGAACTGCGTAAGGGGCGCTGGTAGAAAGTGAACAAGTTAAAAAGGGAAAGATAATAGAAAAGAGGGAAAACAAAACAAAACAAAAAAGAAGGACGCACTTTTTTCCGGGGAAACTATTGTGAAACATTTCACACATTTTAATAAGTGTAAATTAAATTATGAGCACGAGATTTCTATGGGGTGATAGCTGATGAAGCTGAAGACGGAATCAGCTATCACCTCATCATGGAAATCTCGAGCTCATAATCTAATTGTTTTAGTAGAAAACTGACTACATTTCTTAAAATAACGTTTTAATTCGATTATTCCTCTGCATTTGAAGAGGTATTTAAGTTCACGCTTCAGTGAAAAAAAAACGTGCGCGGATTGAATTGTTGTTTGAAACTTGCAGCTGTTTACATCCACTCATCAGTTTGTTGAAACATATTGGGTGTTTCTTGAGTGTTCTCAGGAATTGAATTATCCGGTGATATTTCTTAATTTTCCTCGAAACATTGGAGAAACAAGAAAACGTTGCCATCATAAAGATGTCCAGGTGCTGCACATTAATGGCTGATAGTGTACGATTAGCTCAGCCAATCAGATTGCAGCATTTGCAATAATATACTAGTATAATTCTACTAAATAGCGTTAGGCTGCTATACTTCTACCTGGTTGAGGTTAGGGTTTAGAGTTAAGGTTAGGAACATCCTCTCTCCCCATCTATCGTCTACTCGGTATTAGATTTATCGATTCGCCTGATTTGAGTTTCCCTGTCCAACTTAAGTTTCTGTACCAACATTAAGCTGAACTTTAACTTAGTGTGGATTTCCTTGTTTGCTAAATTCCAGCTTGAACACACTGTAAATGTTCTGAAGGATGAGATCAAACGACTCCAAAAGGAAGTACACCAAGTCAGGACGGATTTGAAGATTCAGCGTGCGAGGTCACTGGACTTGACGTACGCTTTTCAAGAGAAAGAAAAGGAGTTAGAACTATGCCAGAAAGATTACGACCGGGAGATGAAAGANAATGGCAGCGAGGCTGGAGGTGACCTTGTTTTGATACAGACCTCACTGCTTTTGTTGTGTAAATCAAGTTGTTCTAATGTTAACTAGGTGCATTAACTGATGATAAAAGCAGAGAGGTCTGTAGCAAAGAAGGTCACCTCCAGCATCGCTGCCATTCAAAAGTCAGGTCACTGAGCAGACAACTGTTAAATGGTCTATTCTATGGTGATTCGCGGCCAATAAGATTAGCGTAGCTACAGCATAACATTAACCTTACTTGTAGTTGTTTTCAACTAAAAAACGAGTCTGCACGTGGGACCTTTTTTTTATTACCTAACTGTGGTTAGCATGCCAAAATACAAATTTTTGCCAAGTAGGTGCGGGGGGGAGGGGTTGGAGGGGGGGTCACAGCCACTTAAATGTTACTGAAATTTTTTAAACTTTCTGAAAAGTTAAATCTTGACATGCTGATTTCAATTTCGAGATAATAAAATGCAGTGGTCACTAAACTCCTATTTCATTTAGTTATAAGCACTTAAAGTTAAAATTAAGGGTGTTTTCAACAGACCATACCGTTGCCATGGTAACTTGTAATGTCAAGGGAATGTTTATGAGCTGTTCACAAATTTGTTTGATTTTTCTGACAAAGAATGATGCTATTAATAGATCAAAGTAGAAGTTAAGTGTTAAAAAATGCTGGAAACTGTTGTCAGCGACAGTAGTCAACAATACCGCTCTTTTCCTGCTGATCACTTTAATTTACAGAGCGAAATGGGGTCGTCTCTGAACTTAATTAATAGTGACATTAGAAGTTGTTACCGCAAGCAATCTTAACGTTAAACACAGTCTAAAAAGATAATGGAAGACAACGACGCTCCTGAGAACTCGCTTTAAACGCTTTCTCACTCCAATCCTCCACTTTCCTTTTGGGAACTCTACAAACTGTATTTCTAACAGTTACTCCACTTCATCATCTGTCTAAATTACTGTTTTCTTTGGCATCTTGATCCGCCCTTGTCTTCTTTTGGGAGGCATGTTATTCATGTTCACCGAGCAACAAAGGGCTTGTAACCGTTCTCGAAGTTTTTTGTCCTCGAATTTGCGATGTGTATAAACGTGATCGTACTGTACTCTTGCGCACGGCAGCCGGTAGCGCTGTTATCTTTCACCAAGTAAACGAAAACGTAATACTTTTCTGAAATGATTATAACAGCTTTCCAAAGTGTCAATCCAGAATAAAACAACAAGAACAATAAGAAATACAAAGACAATTTTTATGGATTTAATTCAGGATCTAATTAGGGTCAGAAATCGAAAAGTAACACTTTCAACCAGCAGTCGTTTAAAGCAAGAATAAGGAAGTAGTTAAAATGCCGACTAGGAATCATCTTGTCCCGTAGGTGTCATGCATGTAGTGTTTCAAGTGACTTTTACATTCATCCCTGGTCCCCTGCCTTGACGCCACATAAGTTTTCTTCAGAAGGATGAAATGAAAATAAACCCTCGGATTAATGGAAACTTTTAAAATTTCTTTCATGTAATAATGTATGTCGTTTTTTTAGAAAAAAGCAAACAAACAAACAAATTACCCAATCTACGTTATAATTGCAATGGGGCTTTAATTTGCTGGGTTTTTTTTTTCGTAGAAGCTTCCAAAATGTTCGGCAGCCTTCTTAAAACGTTCGGAGCAGCCCTGTTATTTTTGGAAGTATTCGCTTAATTTCGGACAACTTCGGAGATTTTCGTTTATCTTTGAAAGCCTTCACTTTCAATTCCTCGATTTGGGAGTTGCCCATTATCGGGGTTTTATCAGGAAATATTCTAAGCGCTGACGAACCATGCTCTATTTCAACATGTACTAGTCAGTGAGTTTTTTTTATTGTTGAGATATCATACTTGTTGTTTTTATTCGAGTATTTTTAATGTTACGGGTGGTTCCGTGTGTGACCACGCACCGTTTACAAGGCTCTTCATGATTGGCCAAACGAAACAATAGGTATACAACACAAACAATGTCCCTAGCCCTAAAAACAAAAGAGTTGCAGATTAACAAGAACGAATCAAACTAGAAGTATTAAAGAGGTGCAGGTCAACTTTGTTACGTAGCTGCTTCGCGGTGTTCCGGGAGTTTTCTGGCGTGTCAGTGGGAGATATTCCGGCGTGTTCCAAGATGCTCTGCCGGGTTTGTTCCAGATTTTACAGGCGATCGAAGTGTGGCGCCTTCTCGCCGAGACTACCTACAATCGCCAAGATCTTTAATTCATCAGTTAATTCCAGCAGCGGCCATCTCTCCCCACCCCCCCACCCCCCTCCCCCTCGGGCAATAGCCGTTATCTGCTCATATCCTAATCACGGCATAGTGCATTTGAAATTTTATTTGTGCCCGGGGGCCTGGCATTTGCCTCCACTCGGGAAATAGAATTGAATTACTGTCATAACTGAAAAAAATAAGAAGCCAAAAGCGTAAGCAAAACCGCGCGCTGAACAGCATTGTTGTTTGAAACTTGCAGCTGTATACACGCACTCGTCAGTTACGGTAACATTTATAGTCACATGACGGTCAATTTAACAAAAAGGCATCCCTGACCTCTATAAACACTACTTTTATTCCTTTTATACCGTATTCCGATTGGTCGATTAATCCTAAATCAGTGGAATGAAGAAAAGTGAAATTGAGAGTAAACCTGTGAAATTGGTAATGATTGAAAGATGCAGCTCAGGCAAAATGGCGGACAAAATAGCCGACAAAAATTAGAAAAAAAATAAATAGCAAAGCAAAATACAAAGCTCTCAGTACTAAACTAGTTACTGCGAAGTGTAATGACCACAAAACACAAAAGCCGTCAGGACAAAAACATAAATGCGTTTTTGGCCAACGTAAGATGTGATGCAGGACATTCTCAGCTCAGATCTACAATGGAGGACAAAACTCTAAGGACGATTAACACGATATGTCTTAATTTCTCCCCCTTTCTCCCTCGCCTCCAAGCAATGTTGTAGTTCGTGCAGCCCTGTACACTTTCGCCTGTCCTGAAAGTGTTTCTTCATCCCAACACTGTTTGGAGGGGGAGGGGAGGGCCATTCTCGGTATCCACGTGGTTAGAGAAATTATGCTACATTTGATTTTTTGATAAGTTAAGGATGTGGAAGCAAGGTTTTCCATAACTGTTCCAAGGATTTTTGTCCTCCATTGTGGATTGACCGCTGAAGGATTCAATGTATAACCGTTGGCCCATTGTGCTAGCATACTTTTTGGCATAATTCGAGTATCCGACCATAATTTTCAAATATGCTTTACTCTAGCATAATTATATACGACAGACTTAAACACTTATTTTAATTTTTTAGTGTGTTTGCTACACGTTCACAATAAGTGTTGTTTATTTACTTTTTCAGTAGATCTAGGAATTTTCACTTGCCTAGTTACCATTAAAAACTAATTAAGAAAAACACAACCAATAAAAATTTAATATTCTAAAAACGCGCTAAAAGTTGTAATCATTTGTTTCTGAAATATCTTTACGCAGTTATATACGCGGAAACATTTTTCTGATTTTGTGAGCATAAGTTCGTATGCTAAGAGCATGGTTTGTGAACTTTGGCATAATTTTGGCATAATTCAACTAAATTGGGAACAATGCTAACAGCAGTTATAGACAATTTTAGGAGCACAATGACACAAGACCTAATGTTAGGGTAAACAGTGGGTAAAACATTTGCCCCTCCAGGGGCATTTAACCAACTTATTTGTTCCCATCCCGAGAACTTGCCTTTTACACCCTGAAAATCACAACTTCGGAATACACCTGAAAACAGCCTTTGCGGGTGACGCATTCGACTACAAACTGTAGTTCCGAGCATAAATATCTCACTACGCTCATTAAACAATTACGACGCATGCACATACCTCTTCTTCCCGCCCCCTCCCCTCCTCCCGACCACCCATGCTCGACACAGCGCATTCTTGTCCCCAGAGGCCGCGCTCCTTTTGGTCAGCACCAAGAATCGCGACCTCCGGCCGAGTCCAACACCGGAAGTCCGCGATTCACGGACTTTCCGTCACTCTGTGCATGCTCAGAGTCAAGTCTGACAAATCTGATTGGTTCCAGTCTCATTCTANGTTATAAGCACTTAAAGTAAAAATTAAGAGTGTTTTCAACATATCATACCGTTGCCAATCCTCCACTTTCCTTTTGGGAACTGTACAAACTGTATTCCTAACGTTTACTCCACTTCGTCATCTGTCTAACTTACCGTTTTCTTTGGCATCTTGATCCGCCCTTGTCTTCTTTTTGGGAGGCATATTATTCATGTTCACTGAACAAAAAAGAGCTTGTAACCGTTCTCGACGTTTTTTTGTCCTCGAATTTTCGATGTGTATAAACGTAGTCTGAAAAAGTCTACGCATTGTACTCTTGTGTAATGCTGCTAGCAACAGGTAGCGCTGTTATCTTTCACCAAGTAAACGAGGACGTAATACTCTTCTTAAATGATTTTAACAACGTTCCAAAGGGTCAATCCAGAAAAAAATAACAAGAACTGAACAATAAGAAATACAACAATAATTTTGACGGATTTAATTCAGGATCTCATTAGGGTCAAAAATCTTATAGTAAAACTTTCAACCAACAGTAGTTCAAAGTAAGAATAAGTAAGTAGTAAAATATGGCTCCTCTAGATCTGGTGCCGACTAGGAATCATCCTGTCCTTTAGGTGTCACGCATGCAGTGTTTTAAGTGACTTTTACATTCATCGCTGGTCCCCTGCCTTGACGACACATCAACCCTCGGATTAATAGAAACTTAATATCCTTCATGTAATCATGTATGTCGGTCTTTTGTTTTTTTGCAGAAAAACAAACAAATTACCCAATCTACGTTATAATTTCAATAGGGCTTTAATTTGCTGTTTTTTTCTAGAAGCTTCAAGAATGTTCGGCACCCTTCTTAAAACGTTCGGAGCCGTCCTGTTAGTTTTGGAAGTGTTCGCTTAACTTCGGACAACTTCGGAGATTATCGTTTATCTTTGAAATCCTTCACTTTCAATTCCTCGATTTGTGAGTGGTCCATTGTTGGGGTTTTATCAGGCAAAATGCTAAGCGCTGACGAACCATGCTCTATTTCAGCATGTATAAATCAGTAAGTTTTTTATTGTTGTGATTTTAATATATTTTTTATTTATATTCGAGTATTTTTAACGTTTATACGGGTTATTCCGTAGCTACTTCGCGGTGTTCCGGGAGTTTTCTGGGGTGTCAGTGGGAGATATTCCGGCGTGTTCCAAGATGCTCTGGGTTTGTTCCAGATTATTACAGGCGATCGAAGCCGTGCGCCTTCTCGCCAGGACTACCCTACAACGGCTACGAACTTAAATTCATCAGTTAATTCCAACAGCACCCATCTCTCCGGACAATAGCCATTATCTGCTCACATCTTAATCCTGACGTGGGGCATTTAATTAAAATTTCATTAGTGCCCGGAGACCAGGTATTTGCATTCCACCGGGATAACCGGATAACCCCGGCGCATTTGGCATCCTTAGCTTGTGATTTTGCTCTTCCGTGGAGAATGTAAACATGAAGTTGTTTCCAGGTTTCCTTATCTCTTTAATCACCTGTTGATCAAATATGGATCAAGAGAATTTAACTCTATACTATGTAAAAATTTTAAGCTACAGAGATGATCAGTTTCATAAAAATCTTTCACCTATTTTTGTTTGTTAAAAAAGTATAATACATCTTTAGTCCTCAATGACAATTACTCATTTCCTCATGATCACTCGAAGAACGCAGTGAGGTCTGTACTTACGACCGATGTTGAGATTTCTCCCACACAGGCCGACTAAGCTTGGTTGATAAGATGTTTATTACATGGCTCACAAAACAAGAAAACTTCAATTCAGTGTAGCCGGTTCGTAAGCGCTGCCATTTTGCTTGCGAATTTATGGGATGAAAAATTTGGTCAGAATTATGTTTTCGCTTTCTCTGGCTTCTTTTATCGACTATATATAATAAACTTTCTTACAGTCGTTTAATATAAGTCGCTCTCAATTTCGTCTTCAGCTGTTGTTTTGACCGCCTGATTTAAACTTTAATTAATCAAAGTTTGCTTGTTTCATTTATTTATTTTTTCTCTTCGTCTCTTAGGCTAGCAGTCTTCCATTTAGTATTTTTATTAGAAACAAGCCAAATGATTTTTTTTGTTTGCAACTTTCCCAGTGCGAATGTAAAAGCTAGGCAGAGCGATCAAGATGCCGGTTTAAATGGGAAAATCTAGACTGTGGTCCATATCGATTTTAGCCGATCACATTCGTGAATATGGTAGTTCCGAGTCCTTAGAGACAGGCCATATAACAATTTTTAAAACAAGCTTAAATATTGAAATACACCGTACACTTAAGAACTGTGCCGTGTCAAAATAGAATGTAGTGTGGTTAGGGAGACTTTAGGACAATACTGTGTCCAATAGCAAGAGAGGCATAACCCTTGGCCCATTGAGCTGGCATATTATTGGGGTATAATTCGAGTATCTGAGCCGCACATTTTCACAAGAAGCACTACTCTAGCGCAAGTATACGATGCTTGCGCTCTTTGAAGAATTGTAAAAAATCATTCTTAGTTCAGTTTTGACAATAAAATTCAATAAAAATACTATATTCGAAAAACGCACTAATTATTGTAATAATTTGCCACTGAATTANGTTTTTTTGTCCTCGAATTTTCGATGTGTATAAACGTAGTGTGAAAAAGTCTACGCATTGTACTTTTGTGCAATGCAGCTAGCAACAGGTGGCGATGTTATCTTTCACCAAGTAAACGAGGACGTAATACTTTTCTTAAATGATTTAACAACATTCCAAAGTGTCAATCCAGAAAAAAATAACAAGAACAATAAGAAATGCAACAATAATTTTGACGGATTTAATTCAGGATCTCATTAGGGTCAAAAACCTTATAATAAAACTTTCAACCAACAGTAGTTCAAAGCAAGAATAAGTAAGTAGTAAAATATGGCTCCTCTAGATCTGGTGCCGACTAGGAATCATCTTGTCCCTTAGGTGTCACGCATGTAGTGTTTTAAGTGACTTTTACATGCATCCCTGGTTCCCTGCCTTGACGACACATCAACCCTCGGATTAATAGAAACTTAATATCCTTCACGTAATCATGTATGTCGGTCTTTTTTTTTTTTGCAGAAAAACAAACAAATTACCCAATCTACGTTATAAATTCAATAGGGTTTTAATTTGCTGTTTTTTTCTAGAAGCTTCCAGAATGTTCGGCACCCTTCTTAAAACGTTTGGAGCCGTCCTTTTAGTTTTGGAAGTGTTCGCTTAACTTCGGACAACTTCGGAGATTATCGTTTACCTTTGAAATCCTTCACTTTCAATTCCTCGATTTGTGAGTTGTCCATTATCGGGGTTTTATCAGGCAAAATGCTAAGCGCTGACGAACCATGCTCCATTTCAGCACGTATAAATCAGTAAGTTTTTTATTGTTAAGATTTTAATATATTTTTTTATTTATATTCGAGTATTTTTAACGTTACTGGTTGTTCCGTAGCTACTTCGCGGTGTTCCGGGAATTTTCTGGGTGTCAGTGGGAGATCTTTCGACGTGTTCCAAGATGCTCTGGGTTTGTTCCAGATATTAAGTGTGGCGCCTTCTCGCCAGGACTACCCTACAACGGCCACGAACTTAAATTCATCAGTTAATTCCAACAGCACCCATCTTTCCGGGCAATAGCCATTATCTGCTCACATCTTAATCCCGACGTGGGGCATTTGAAATTTCATTAGTGTCCGGAGGCCAGGTATTTACATTCCATCGGGATAACCGGATAACCCCGGCGCATTTGGCATCCTTAGCTTGTGATTTTGCTCTTCCGTGGAGAATGTAAACATGAAGTTGTTTGCAGGTTTCCTTATCTCTTTAATCACCTGTTGATCAAATATGGATCAAGAGAATTTAACTCTATATTATGTAAAAATTTTAAGATACGGCGATGATCAGTTTCATAAAATCTTTTTTTTTTGTCACAAAAGTATAATACATCTTAAGTCCTCAATGACAATTACTCATTTCCTCATGAGCACTCGAAGAACGCAGTGAGGTCTGTACTTACGACCGATGTCAAGATTCTGCCACACAGGCCGACCAAGCTCGGTTGATAAGATGTTTATCATTATATGGCTCACAAAACAAGAAAACTTCAATTCGGTGTAGCCGGTTTGTAATTATAAGCGCTGCCATTTTGCTTGTGAATTTATGGGATGAAAAATTTGGTCAGAATTATGAGAGTCGAACCCACTGACCGGTATGTTTTCGATTTCTCTAGCTTCTTTTATCGACTATATATATAGAACAAACTTTCTTACATGCGTTTAATATAATTCGCTCTCAATTTCGCATTTAGCTGTTGTTTTGATTGCCTGGTTTGAACTTTCATCAAATTTTGCTCGTTTTATTTATTTTTTTTTTTCTTTTCGTCTTTTGGGCTAACGGTCTTCTATTTAGCATTTTTATTGGAAACAAGCCAAATGATTTTCAACTTTCCCAGTGCGAATGTAAAAGGCAGAGCGATCAAGATGCCGGTTTAGATGGGAAAATCTAGGCTGTGGTCTATATCGATTTTAGCCGATCACATTCGTGAATATGGTAGTTCCGAGTCCTAAGAGACAGGCCATATAACAATTTTTAAAACAAGCTTAACTATTGAAATACACCGTACAGAAGAACTGTGCCGTTTCAAAATAGATTGCAGTATTGTCAGGGAGATGTCAAGACAATATTGTGACCAATGCCAAAATAGGCATAGCCCTTAGCCCATTGAGCTAGCATATTTTTTGGGCATAATTCGAGTATCTGAGTCGCACAATTTCACAAGAGGCACTACTCTAGCGCAGGTATACGATGCTCACGCTCTTTGAAGAATTATAAAAAATTCAGTCTTGGTTTTTGGTGCCTTAGCTACACAGTCATAACCGTCATAACCTGGGGTTTTAGAATAACTGCAACCTCTGTTAGTTTACCCGGCTTATTCAGTAGATCTGGGAATTTTGACTTTCCTAGTTAGTTATTACCAATGACAACTAATCAATAAAATTCAATAAAAATACTATATTCGAAAAACGCACTAATTATTGTAATAATTTGCCACTGAATTATTTTTTCGCTGTTGTTATGTACACAAAGATGTTGTCATTTTTTACTCGGGCTTTCCAAAGGAAACGCCCCAGTTGAAATTCCGGCTTTGTTTTTTTGTTTTTGTTTTTGTTTTCGTTTGTTTTGTTTTTTTACGTTGAATCGCAAATGGCAGTCAAGTCCTTTAGGCGACCTCAGAATGGAATATCAAAGTGTACAGAGTCCTCAAACCTTTCTGGCGAAGAATTTTTCGTTCCTTTAAAAACATCACGATCGGTGCGCTTTCAAGTGAGTTTTGAACACAGATCTTGCCGGGATTTAAAGCAACTTCCTGGACTTTAGAAAACAAAAATGGTAATGTACAGTATTGCCTCGAAGCTGAATTTTTGGAACGACTAGTAAAGCTACGGCCGATAAAATGGCTGCAAAAGTCGTCGGCAAAACAGAGTCAAGCTTTCGCTTTAGCCTGAAGAATAATATGAACATGCTGTAATGCAGCGAAGCCGGCACGTCTGCAAAATTTTGGACATCTTTTTCCTTTTAGAAAAGTTCTTTTTGCCTCATCTTGAATGAAAATGTGTTGTTATTGAGTCTTATTCAGCTACTACAGAATTCCTGTTAAGAACTAAGTGGGAACTAATCTGACACGCTCAAGGCGTAGTCAATCGAGAATAATCGATTGCTCACAGGAAAACATCTTTATCGATCGCTATCGATTAGTAAAAATCGATAACAATCGATAATTCCTGTCTTCAGAACTTTGGCATAATTTTGGCCTAATTCGACTGAATTGGGAGCCGTGTTAGCAGCATATGCCGCTTTTTATATGAACACAATTGGGCCTAAGTCCTTACGATAAGCTAGACGCGCTGCTAAGCAAAACGACATAACATAACGGCCGGAGTGAATGGCATCTTTTCAATATGATATATTTCGCTTTAAATTTATCGCTGCGAAGACGTGTAGTTTTTTCTGGATGAACCTGGGATGGGGCATTTTCCTTCTTTTTTGCCCTCACCCAGGGCTATTTGACCCACTTTAATATTTATCTGGGGAAGATGCAAAGACCCTAGATGTGAAATCTTCAGATTAAACCTAAAAACAACCTTTCTGGGCGAGAAATTCGACGGCAAACCCCACAAATGACTATAGAACCGACCATGAACATTCGAGGTTTTCATTAAAATATCTCGCCGAGTTCACGAGACCGCGTACTGTGACGACGCATGCCACGCGTGCGTCTCATGCTCGACACAGCGGCAATCTTGTGTCTCAGTTCGTTCTTTACTGCGCAAGCGTGGGGAAACGAGCGACTAGACTATCGAGAGTTCCGTTGCAGGATCCATTTTGATTGGTTTTAAAAACGAAAGCAAGAGCCGTAAAACACCAGCAACTCGCGTGTTTGTTTGTCAGCTAGGCGTGCGCATTTCTCTTACTTTCCGACCGCTGTTCAATGGGAACGAAGACACCAGGCATCATCACGTTGTGCGTGTCTGGTGTTGATTATCAATTTTGGAACATCACGCGAACTTCGTTTTGTAAACCTTGACGATTTGTGGGGTCGTTGAAAGGATTGGTTTAAAGAGTTCAGAATATAAACACAAAGGTATGTAACTTTCTTTTCTTTCTAATTTCAAGGGCATCATATTCTCCACAAGTAATAATCTGAAAGACTCAGTTGGGGGGAAGACAGTCAGTTTAGTCGATATTACCATGTTGGTCTACTGATTTCATCGCTGCTTTGCATACTTTCTGCACTATTTACACTGCAAGCATGTAAATGGTCTCCGTACACAAACTAGTTTGGCCGAAACAGATACAATGGTCATGTAATCAATGTTTCTTCTTCTAATATGAAATGTTCTCTCGGTACAGTAGTCATGATACCACGATGACCTTTTTATATGTGATCATTTAAAATACAAAGTCTGCTTAGGAGCACTGGAGAACCAGTGAGAACCAGTGTATATATAATACGATGCATAGTTCGCTGTGTCTTTACTTAAGGCTAGGCTGTGATCACTGAGAACGTTATCGTAGCGATCGTTCCGACAACAGTCGCCCCTGAGATGTGGGCTCAGTTCTAGTCAGTTTTTTGTTATGATTGTAGTGATCATTTGAACACCACTCTCCAGAGATCGCACCGACTAAAAACACACCGAGGATGTGTATCGGTGTTCGATCTAGGTCCTCTCTTGCTTTTTAATTTTTTATTATTATTCTGTAGCGATCGTGGCGATCATATGGAAACTGGTAGTCGAGTAAGGGTTGCTCAACGATTTCTGGTGCGATCGTACCTTGCGAGCAGAGTCTCCTTTGATCTTCCTAGACAAATAGGACGATCGAAGGAGACTCTACTCGCCGGGTAGTGCGATCGCAACAATCATATGGAAACCAGCCCTAGCGTATGGGTGCGAAGAGCCTTCTTACGTTCACGTGAGTCGCGATAAATAAAACAAAGTCAGTTTTCCTTCAAGTTGATTCCAAAATCACTTTATCTCTCAATTTGATTAAGTTGACGTTGGGGAATCCTTGCCAACCTCTCAGAACCGCGTAGGTTTTTGCAATCTGTGCGTTAACATTTAATTCTCAACCAGGTTTTCGACACTCTTTACAGTAGACTTCTTCTGCGCGTTTATATTTGTTCGGAGCCACAGAGAATCGTTTTGTGTACTCTATATCATAGCCGGTGACAGAGAAAGATTGATGTGTAATTGTTTTGCATGGCAATTTGTAAATTCGGAACTAAAAACTTAAAATTCAAATTTCATTCGGTAAAGCGATGTTTGTTTTGAGTCCGAACTGCTAATAGGTGGAAATGTGGCACGGGATCTATGTTATTCAAAAGCTGTTCTGGATCTTGTTAGTTAGTACTGAAGAAATGCGATTTTAAATTACACCTAGCCAAATTCCAAATTTTTGCAACTCTAGTTTATATTTGCCATTACTGAATTGTAGAGGTCATGCTTAGGTCAGTGAGAGTCAAGTGATTGCAAAGAATGGTTTCTTTTATCGATGCAATCTGAGATGATATCCTTGTAGGTGTATTTTTAAATGAGAACCCCAAGGGGTAAATCTTGCTTGATTTGGCTCGTGGATGTAACTTCGCTCGCTTTAATTAGATTGCAAAATGGGAGATCGGGAATATAGAGCAAGATGAATCGACAGATAAGAAGCGAGAACAAGGAATATTGGTCAGTTTAGATTTAGTTGTTAGGACATAAACGTTTCTGCCAAGCTGAAGTTGCAGGCTATTTCGTTAAAACACTTCTGTGGCATTGAAATTTGTTCAGTGCCATCGCGCGTTTCAAAAAGTTATCATAATCACATTGGCCTAACTGTGCTCTCTCGGGCTTGGCCTTCCACAAGAGTGACCACAAACAANAGAGCTAACCATAAACAGGATAACCGAAGCGTTATTCAAGAGTACAGACTTTCACTACGGTTAGCCTGAATAACCCTGTTTACGGTTATGCTAGCACTTGGTAATGGAAATAGCACCATAACTGCACCATAACCGAAGTCGGCATTCGTGGTTCCATGTCGCTATAACGAGCTTACTTTTATAGTTCTTCAGAGTGACAGCTCAAGGAATGCTCCGAAGTGGCCAGATCACAACCGTACTCCCAAAATGGCTGGAAGTCGAGCCTACATCGAGGGCAGATTTTAGAATCATTCTAGTGTGGAAGTAATGCATGGGCGACACATTTTCAAAACTGCATGGAGACTGCAGATTGGGTACAAAATGCAGACTGAGAATAAACGCTTTTTCCCTCTAAATGTGATAATGTCCCATCCTATTACTAAAAGTATCAAGGCTGTATTCCCTCTAAAATAGAATTTCAAGCCTTCACTTCAAGTCTTCACTTTGTGTGCAATGTTTGAAAGTGCCCATGCTAATTTCAATCGTTTCTTACTAAAACAACATTCAAGCTATGACAGTCAAACTTTGTGACTTTTCCTAAATGTTATTAAGGGAACATTGTTTAGTCATGCCACTTTACAGTTCTATGGCAACCAGGTTCTAAAAGGATGTTTTGACTGAATAAAGTGTTTTTAAAGCTTATTTTTTCTGTTATAGTTTGAATTTGGATTATAACAATTTTATTGCAAATTCTTTACAGCTCTGATATCCTTGAATTGTCAATCTGTTTTAATTGAACAGTATTTTGAAATTCAACATAGCGGATTCAAGATGGCAGACATTTTGAAATGGGTCACATTATTTTGGTGTTCTGTGACCTGGGCTATTTAAAGATAACATATAGATTTGGCTGAGCCTAAAAGCGGAGTTCCTGATTGCAATAATTAACCATAAAGGAAAAAGAGGATTTGTTTTTCTTTGGATCAGAAACTCTAAAATGATCAATTGTGAGCATCTAATTGTTCAATGTGTGGTTTTGCTGATTTTTCCAGTTAAATGTTAACAAGCTATGCCCAATAAGCATTACTAAGATTGTAGGAATTACGTACGCAATATATCAGGGACTTTACAAGAGACGATTGTACAAGGAATATGTAGAAAGAAAAGTCAATAACGTGCCAGAGGCTAATTTGTGCCAAAATTTTGCCTTTGCACATACTCCGTCCTTCTTCCCCCAGAAAAAAAAACAAACAAACAAAAAAAAAAAGCGACCTCGATGAGCTCTAAACCGGAGCCCATGATATGGTCATGTGATACTGGTCAGCGAATACCTTGTTTTCACAGCTGTCAATTAACCATAACATGGATGTCCAATATCCAAGATGTACCTATGGTAATGGTGCTACTATCTTATTTTTCAAGATATTGGGTTTGGGATGTGGACATATGGACAGTCGTGCGACAACCAATTTTTTCAGATCGATGGGTTACCAAATTCGTCGGCATGGAGTAGCTCAGCCATTAATATTGACTGTTTAATATCAATTCATTGATATCCTTCTAGTGATTGATTTTGATTTATTACATTGCCATAATATATTTATTTAGTTGGTTAGTAAGACACATACCATTAAAAAATCCAGGACACTATATATACAGTTCAACCCCTATTAAATGGCCACCCTGGGGGAAATGGATATTAGCCGCTTAATGGGGGCTGGCCGTTTAATAGAAGTAAAAACAATAGACAAGCCGTCATCGGGACTTTGATTACTGGCCGCCTAATAGGGGTGCCCGTTTAATAGGTGGCCGTTTAATAGGGGTTCGACTGTAGTAACATATAGCACAAACATTCTGCAACAAACATATTTTCTCATTTAGATGCTGTTGCATCACAATAGATCAGTAATGATCAACTCTTTCACTGTGACATGGCATGCACCAATATGCAGTAGTCACGCATCCATTTTTGACACATAAAACTGGTTACCGGTAACAACCGCATTCTCAATCAACCCATCTTGAAATTTCCTTTCACCAAATTAACGCTGATTACCAGTCTGTTAAAACTATAGTATGTGGTGTGGTAATTTTGTTAAAATTTTGGAGTGAGATGGGATCACAGTTGCCCTCTTTGTTACCCTCGTACCTGTGTATGTATCATGCCAATTTTGAGGTCAGCATTAGATGCCACACACTAGAACCCCCAACCTCTTCTTGAGACTCGGATGTTTTCTCCTTAACTTACTCTGCACCAAGTTCTTGCTTTTTACATAAAGAAGCTCAAACATTTAAAATAGTCTGCTATCTTGGATTTCAAAATTTTTCAGGAATGTCAGAAAATATCCAAGAGAAGAGATTAGAGAAATGATTAACAAGTCAAAAACTTCGGTTTTTCTTTTAATTTTTAGTGTTTCAGTCTTGTTAGTAGCATCTTGCATCTTTTTCAATTTGTGATCATCGATATTTCAACAAAATACATAGTATCACAACAAGCTTACATTCTGACATGAAAACAAGACACATACCCAAGGCTTTGCCTGGCACATCAACAATAGGAAATTATACTTTTTAAATATACATTTGAAGAGAATACAATCACAGTGGCGGATCTAGCGGTGGACACTTATTTTGGGTAATGCCATTTATGTGTCTTAAACCAGGAGACCTCTCTGGAGGAAATGAAGACTGATTTTATACTGTAAATTTCATTGCAGTTCACCTGTTGTTGTGGCTTTGTGGAATGCATGGCAACCATTGCCAGACAACGCAAGGTTTACAAGATTGTGCAATAAGGATCAGTATGTTAAAACCATCATTTTATGACAATGAAATAAAGGTAAGTTTATGCAATACTTGGTTGAGGGCAATCAGTTAGGTCATGACTATGTTCATAATCACATATTTGAGAATTCAGATAGTTATTTATTAGTACCAGTAATAAATAATGATATTATTGAAGTTGACTTAGATAAAAGTGAATTTTCTAGCAGCTAAATGAATTTAAATTCTGTTATCCTTTATTGTTGAATCAATTTTTTTAATACATGTAATTATTGCATTTCAAGCTTTCTGATTTCATCACACAGTGTGGCTAACAGCAAATAATGGTCCAGAGTCTACCTTTTGTTTAGTTTACACATAATTCATAAAAAATGGACGTGTGATGTGTGGAAAATAGTAGAGTTTGACACTTGAAATTTGGTTAACCGTTTGCCGGAGACAATAAGTTAACTACGTAAGTATTCTTTCTATTTCAATGGAACAGTTAACGGTATAAACCTTCTCGCAAAGCTCTGTTTTGCTAGTTCTTGATCCCAAACAATGTTAAATGGTTTTTAGTAATTCCTATAAAGCGGAAAAAGGCACATGTGTAATTCGAAGGACACGAAGCAGCCTGGAACCAAACTGTTTTACCAGTAATGGTTAATCGTGAGGGCTAATCGTGGCAGTTAACCCGCTGACACTTCTGGAGCTGACAACACACCTCGCTTTATACACATTCCGGTGTTAGAGAGGAAAACAGAGAGAGACATGCATGGTTTAATTGTGTTTAGGTAGCAGCAACGCTTTGTTGCTGTCCACTGATAAACTCCATGAAACAGCTTGGACAAAGCAAAAATATCCACCTGCTTGGTGCCCACTGTTTCAACTGAATTTGCATCATTTCTGTTTAGCGCGAATCAACCACCCCTCTAAAGAAGTAAACAAGATCTTTTTTTTTTACTTTACGCTCTTTAGTGCCTACCCAGGTAAAACATGTTGTTGCATGCTGTTTCTTTTTAGTGACACTCATTAGCTGTACCCTCGAGACAGTACAACTCCCCTTTTCTCCAACTTGTGTTACAGAGTGTGGTGTGACATTCTTTAAATTCTTCTTTCAGACGATCCCAGACAAAAAAGGTGGGACATGAAACAAGTTCTCCCCTTCCCCCAGTTACAATGTTGATAATCAGGTGATGTTTTCCTGTTTTGTTGAGAAAAATGTGATATTTTCCAACATTGATTAGGGGGGATGGGGGATACGTGATCTAGCTCAACTGTCCCAACTACTTTTGTCTGGGATTGTACATG